TGATAATATACGAGAGGACGATCGATGTTGGAGAACTCAACTTCAAGCAAATTCATGAGTGCGCCAAAAGAAACTGGGGTAATCTATTGTTTTCTAACTTGATAACTACTCTGTGCAGGAAAAAGAAGCTCCCTGAGGAGCCCTTTGAAGATTTCATTAAATCCAAGGAGGACATCACCAAGAAGAAAGTACTCAAGCTAATGAGTTTCGATGACAAAGCCCCGCATAAAGGTTTGGAGAGGGGAACAAAATATGTTGTCGCGGCCAGAATGGCAGAAGTGGCCACGCACACGCGAGAAACGCGTGAGAAGATAGGGCGCCAAGAGGATCATATAGAGATATTCTTTGAGTACGTCAAGGCACGGGACGCAAAACTCAACGCCTTTTTTCAAGGAGTTGCTCCTGATCACAACTGACAATTTGTCGTCTTTCCCCACCGTCATTCTTAAACACACTACTGGCGGTAACACATTCCACGCCTCGACATCGAATGTCCCCTCAGAAGTACCCACGGACGTGCCACCACTAGCCACCCATGTCTCGCATGTACCAGAGGAAGGCCATGGCGACACAGACGAATTCCTCAGCTCATCATCCTTCTCAACCTCCGAGAGCACTCAAAAGACTCCACCCAACTTCTTCTCCGATGAAGATTTCACTCCAGCCCTGAAGCAACCCGAGCGAGGTCACATACAGTCCCCTTTTCGTTAAGCAACGTCAGTCCCTGAAGTAGCTCAAAGTCTAGCACCAGTTCTTGCACAACCTACTCCTACTGCAGAACAACCAACTTCAGCACAAGCCTCGACCAGCAAGAAATGTATCAAGCTAATGGCAGGTCATATCCTTCAGCCTTCACCCTCGACGATAGTAGTAGTAGACTCAGGATCAGAGGGTCCCTCTCCTCCCCAACGACGCCGAACAAGGGTGTCCAGTCAAGCCACCCCACCACAATAAGTTTACATTTTAGTCTTTTTTTTGGTATTTGTATATATAGATTCATGTAGTTTTAGTTCTCATGCATTGAGGATAATACATCCCTCAAGTTTGGGGGAGGTATTGTGCCATATTTTGACATACTTTGTTAAAAAGCAATTGATGATATTTGGTAGAAAATTTTAGTTGTCATGACATAAGCATGTTAAGTTTATTGTTTGGAATGAATTAGGGATGCCCAATGATGAATGCATAATTTGATTTCCTAGGCCAGAATTATTGTTAAGACTGTCTAAAGAAGAGAACCGACCCTAGGCATGATTCTTTGAAATTTACAAACACGATTGTAGGTTGTCCCTTCTTAAGGTAATCAGTAAACTTTTTAGGAAAGAACTTTCTTTGTCGAGACTTCAAAAATTTTAAGGATAAGATGGAACTCCATATTAAAACTTGAAAAATAAAAAGGGACACTCTTCTATGCAAGGGCATAAACAAAAAAACTCCATAAGAAATTAAGAGTTGCCGAGGCATATGAGTGAATGAAAATAGTCATAGGATGACTCTACCCAACTAGCTGGGGGTGGAAGGTATGCTCCCTTTCACCTAGAGTAAGGGACGGTAGGTGATATGGTTGACTCTAAAAAAATAAGGGTTGATAAATAACTAGGAGTATAACTAAGCCTGACAAAATATGTTGATGACAACCCAGAAGCACTTACCTTAAGTTTTCTAATTACCTTCATGCATAGACTGATTACAATCATGCACACACAATAGCAAGGAATCCTAACTTGGGGAGGGACTTGACTGATATGACTGTCGAACATATTGAGGCCAAATATTTTTTATGAGGGTTGAAATATCAAACCATATGATTTTCTTAACACTGCTTTGCCATGATAATTTTAATTTTCTTCTAGCTATTGTACATTGTTTGAGGGCAAGCAATAACTTAAGTTTATTGATAAGTGATAACTCCATAAAAAGAATCAATTTCTATTCTTTTCACTTAAGTTATTGCTCGTCTAAACAAAGTATGTACAACATTTTAGTTGCATTTAGTTTATATTTGCTTGTGGTGGATAAGTTTTTCTTCAGCAAGATTTATTTGGTTTAACTGATGCTGTTGAGGAGAAAAGGTTTGTGTGGATTATGTATGTGTAGGAAAATTACAGAGGAAGAACATTTCAGTCGCGGCAATAAAATTTGCAAGGGCCAAGCGAATAGAGAAGAACGTGAGGCGTAGATTTATCTTGCCAATGCAAGGTTTATCTGAAAAGTATAAAGTGGATATGACGAAATAGCCTATGTCACATGCCAGCTGGATGACCTCCTTCACGTGTTAGTAATCCCTAAATATTCTGATAGCTTCCAGCCACCTTTCCTTTTTAGTCTGGACAAGATAGAAACGGTTATTTAAGGAATATCCAATCATGCAAAAACCTAGGATATTCCTCTCTATAAATATCTAACCATAGCCGCCAAAGAAGGGAGGCAAGGAAGAAGAGAGAAGAGCTTTGCTGAAGGTGTGAGTGAGCAACTGCATTTTTTCCCACCGTTTACCAACCGACCTTCCTTGGTGTCCTCTATAGCCAGACTGTAGCAGAGCGGTGGTCAGGTCTCGAGAGAGGTTGATCACCAAGGCAGGCGCGGTGCTGATCAGAATTGTCACGATAGAGTCTCCAGTTTTGGGAGTTGTTCTTCCTTTTTTCTTAATTTCTTTATGTATTTAGGGTTGTATTAAATGATGATACTTGGATAACTTTTTGATAGCACCATGACTGTCTTACTTGGTGTTAATCTTTGTTTTCCCTAGATAATTATTTTCTGCTTTATGAATGATGAATTATGATTTTGCTCATGACTGTTTTGTTCATTGTTTGAATATTTTACCTTGACACTGTAAGAGATTCGAGAGATTTCCTAGGGTCTTGGTGAAGCATGTCTTGGTAATATAAGAGCATCGAAAGATCGCCTTTTCTCTAGATAGTGATTCTTAGATTCGAGAGAATTAAGAGAGATCTATGTGAACAATGGAATGGATCCAGGATGGTGATTTTCTAACTTGTCTACCTTAGAGATAAGGAGCTGGTTTTAGTCTACTAAAAGGGACAGATGCTAGAGTAGGATATAAACGACTATAGTTTAAGCTGAGAGGTATTGCTACAACAACAGTCTGACAAACCAAGGGTTGTAGTTAACGCTGAGTAGTATTGCCATATCAACCGTCTAAGAATACTTAGTAATCCTGTCAGGCAACTTAAGCAAGTCATAATAATCATTCTATACTTAGAGTAATTGTTGTCAATACAAAAGATTAGCATAAGTACTATGTGATAAGTCTGAATATGTGAGGTTGTTTGTATTATATTTAAATCAACACTTGTCTTTATTTTGTTTTATTTCAGTAGTCTGCATATTTATTTTGTCTCGACCAAACTTTTGCTTCATACATTATAGTATTTCCTTGTTTTATTAATATTAGCTTTTTAGTTGATATATAGTAGGAATTAGTTGTGACAACAAGTTCTAGTTGTGGTGAAAATTAAAATTCTAGACCAATCCCTGAGGAGTCTATAACTCACTTACCCTATATTACTTGATTCGATTGTATATTGCACATAATTACTTGCATAGAATTGATTGCCTTAACATATACATTTACAAGCGATTAATAAGAATGTGAAAGAACAATGTATTGCTTGACATATGGGCAAAAATCATAAGCTCCCTTTTAATGCATGAGATTCGATTTACACTGCTCCATTTCAGTTGATTTATACTGACTTGTAGGGACCTTCACCTGTTGCTTCAAACGGGTATAAGTATTATGTTAGCTTTGTTGATGCATGTACACGACATACATGGTTATATCAGCTACATGATAAATCCCAAGCAGTTCATGCTTTCCAATTGTTTCAACAACTCGTGTCTACGCAGTTTAACTCCAAGATACTAATGTCAGAGTGATTGGGGAGGTGAGTTTCGAAGCCTCTCTCATGTTCTTCTAACAGTTGGGGTTGTGCATCGTGTAACGTGTCCATATACTTTTAAGCAAAACGGAGTTGTCAAAAGAAAGAATAGGCATGTTATTGAGTTTGTATTAGTGTTACTGCTCAGGCTTCTATGCCTATTAAATTTTGGGCCTATGCTGCAATAATGGCAGTACATCACATCAACAGATTCCAACAAAAGTGTTACAAGGGCTATGTACATTTGAATCGTTGTTTCATAAGAAGTGACTATAATTTGTTGAAGGTCTTTTGGTTATAGGTGCTTTCCACATCTCATACCATATAATCACCATAAACTTGAATTTCGTTCACATCCATGTACATTTCTGGTATTAGTCCCCAACATAAAGGTTTTTTATTGTTGGGTTGAATGGACGAGTTTATGTATCTAGACATGTGAAGTTGATGAGTTGCAGTTCCCATTTGCAGTGAATCTAGTAACAGTCATGCAGTTCTTCCGGTCAGACCAGTCACCTAAAGTGTGGTGGATGTACATCGGTTGCATACTGAAGTTGTTGGGGTGTCTGGAAGCCATCATGTTCTGTGCATGAGCATGAGAGTTCTGTAGCTGATCTGTTGCTTATTCGAATGCTCTGAGGGCTCAAACTATTGGTCCAAGTGAAACTCATGATGATGTGTTATCCGAGGAGGAGGTTATTGCACCTTATGATTATGTTCAAGATTCACAGTCAACCATCATCCTATGATGACTCGCAGCAGTGGTATTTACAAGCCCAAGGTGTACACTAGTGTTCCTTCTAATATTCATGATGCCTGATTTCATCTAAGTGGGCAGCTGCGTTCATGCTGAGTATTACCTTGATTCAGAATCAAACTTGGAGTCTGGTGAGCTGCCAACGCGATAAAAGTGTGTGGGCTGCAAATGGTTATTAAAGCTTAAAAGGAATCCAGAGGTTCTATTCATCGATATAGCTCACTAGTAGTAGCTAAGGGGTTTTCACAAGTTCCTGGCCATGATTTTGTTGCTATATTTAGTCCAGTTGTTAAGTTTTCAACCGTTTATGTTGTTCTAGAAGTTACAGTGGTTAAGGGATGGTCATTGAGACAATAGATAATAATAACGCTTTTTTGAATGGTGATCTGGCTGAAGATGTATATGCAACAACCCCCAGGTTTAAACACTTGGTTTCAATGGGGCTCCCTTAGTGTGCAAGCTGTAGAAAGTTTTGGCTGGTCTTTTCTAGGCTACAGAAACTGGAATGAAAAGCTCAAGAACCGTCTACTCGAGTAGGCTTTATGGTATCAGGGTTGACACTTATCTGTTTGTGCGTGTTGTGAATGATTCATGCACTTATATTTTAGTATACGTTGATGATATATTTTCAGGAAGTTCGAATGCATATATTGATATTGTTGTTGATATGTGCACAAGAAATATCTTTAAAACATTTGGAGAACTTTCTTTCTTCCTGGGTATTGAGGTTAAGAGCATAGGTGACGGGTTAGTCCTTAGTCAGAAAACGTATATTCTCGAGTTATTAGGAAAAACAAACATGCTTCAAGTAACTCCAACTTGTACACCTATGGTAGCTTCCCTGAAAGGTTCAGGAAAAGAATGCATTGTTATCTAATGCACGTGAATATCGAAGCATTGTTGGTGCTTTGCTATATGTCTGCCATACTAGGCCTGATCTTTTTTTCTCTATTAATAAGGTGGCGCAGTTCATGCAAGCACCATGTGAAGATTTGGTTGTTGTTAAGCGTATTTTACGTTACCTGGCTGGTACAATGGATTATGTCTTAATATTCTCGGCTGAGGATACTAAGTTATGTGTAAGAGCATTTTCAGATGCTAATTGGGCAGGTGATGCTAGAGATAGACGATCGATGACTGGCTATGGGGTATTTCTTGGCAACAACTTAGTTACCTGGGCGTCCAAGAAGTAGAGATCGGTGTAACGATCACAATGGAAGCAGAATATCGAAGCATTGCAAAAGCTGCTGCTAAAGTAACTTGGGTTAATGCCTTATTTAGTGATCTAAGGCTGCACTCACTAGATAATCCTATTATTTGGTGTGATAATACAAGTGCAGTAGCAATGACTGCTCCAATGTATCATGCAAAGTCAAGCATGTTGATCTTGACATTCATTTTGTTAGGGAGAAGGTTGCACCTGGTAAACTAAGGGTGATTTATACCTGCTGGTTTTCAGCTTGCTGATGGTTTTACTAAGCCTTTGGCTAAGGCATCGTTTCAAGTATTTGAGAAGGTTCATGTTCAACCATTGAATCAAGAAGAAAAAGAAGAAAGACGGGAGAATGTTAGTAAATAAGGATTGTGTGTGAATGAAGTTAGAGTGGAACTGAGTTGTTGTGAATTGCGTGAGGTTGTTGAGTGTTGCATAAGTGTGTGTGAACGTTAACCTTCTGTTATGAGGTTGTTATAAAGTTATATGAGTGTTAGATAACAAGTTGTATAAAAAGGCATTAAGCCTTCACTGAAACGGTGGAACTAATGATCACTTGCTATGAATTTTCTAGTGTTTAACCTAGTTAGTAATTCATCATGCTAAATTAATTTTTTTGATTAATTTTAAATTTAGGATTCAACTATAAACAATTTTTCTATTTTCATATCAAAATTTAGAAATAGTAATCAAATTTGGTATGAGAAACATATAAGAAATCCCACCGGCTTTCAACCCGAAACTACATTGTAATATAAAGAAAATGGACTTTAATTATCCTGCAATGAATTGATGTATGAGACTGAATTGTGTGAAACTTGAAGAGAATAAAACACCTGCCATACCGATTACAGTTAATAAAACTCTACTCAACTTAAAATAAAATAATTTTTTACTTATTTTGATTCAAATCGTAATTTCATAAATTCGCCTTAACTCAAATTTTTAAAAATAAAAATTTGAGTTATAAAATAAGACTCAAATAATTCATTTTTTAGTAATCAGTGTATTGGTTCTCAAGTTCGAGTTTATCAACTCTGCGTGATATATGCATATGACATATGAAAATTATGAATATATATATATATGTATATATTTAGTTATAGAAACACGTTTAAATTAGAATCAATTAATATCATAATTTGAGTCAATATATTGATTATAAATTTGAGTTAGTCTAGTTGATGATTCAAATGTATATCAATTATGAAGAAATATATATTGATTATAAATTAGAATAAATTAATATAATAATTTAATATCATATTTAGTTATCGAAACCCATTTAATAGAATCATTAATATAATACTTTGTGTTGATTTATTAATTTAAAATTTGAGTTATAAAATAGGAATTGTCAACTAGACTAACTTAAATTTTTTAACTTGACTCGATTCAATGGTCACCTCTGATACCAATATCTGCTACACACCAAAAACTCCTAAAATTTTTATTTTGGATTAAATATACTATTTTGTTAATCAAAGGATTTTCATGTGTTTTCTCTAATTTATGTGTTATGTTTTACTGTTACGTACCAATAACTTTTATATAGGTAGGAATATTGTTGATAACACCCATTTAAGACAAATGTTTGTGAAGGATTATACAAAGAATCTCATTTTTCCTGCAAGTTCCCTTAAAGTTCATCTTCAGAAAACCTTTGACACTCTAAATTAAAGTTTTGTGCTAAATAATTTAGAGGATTTACGCCTTTCTGAAAGATTCAGAGAGTGAATCAATGCTTGTTTTGCAATATCCAAATTTTCTCTCTTTAATGAGAGTGTGATAAATTTCTTTCAAAGGTGAAAAAGATATTACAGGAAAACCTCTATCTCTTACTTATTTTTCTATCCATGAATTCTTTGTAAAACCTTGGATATGACCGCTGCTATGAGATATTTCATTTTCATTCTAAGTGTGAAAAATTAGGTTGATTCATATGCGTTTTGCATATGATATTATCATATTTTGCAATGGACATGTAAGTTCCATTATTGGGATCTAATATGTTCTAGAGCAATTTTATGAGATGTTTAGTAAGACTCAATACTTTCAAGAGTGAATTTTTTACTTATGGAATTGTTTTTTTACTAATTGAAGGTTATTTGAAGTATTTCTTATTGCAACCTTGGTCTCTATCTAATAAGTACTTGGGAGTCTCTCTAATAAGAAAATTGACTGAGAAGGATTGTTTTGTCCTTTTAGAGAATGTCAAAGTAGAATTTGGACATCGATCAAGTAAATATTTTAGTTGTGTTGGAAGATTAAAGCTCATTCAAGCAATCTTCTTTAGTATTATAAATTTTTAGTGTAGGTAGCTTATTTTACCTTCAGTTGTAATTAAGAGAATTGATCAATTATGTTGGAATTTGTCTTAATCGACTTTTGGTAGAAAACCGATTATCAATTTTTGGGAAATAGTTTATGAAACGTTAGGAGTCACCAATCATTTTAAAGAACGATTGAAACATCTAAGATAATGTACTTTTAATAAAACTATTTTATTTTATTAAAATACCAAGTTTTGGTTTGTGAAATCAAAACTAGGTTCGGGAGTCAGTTATGTGTGGGAAGGATTAGCACCCCTACAACGCCAAAATTAGTACCTAGTCGATTACCATATTTTAAAATTGGAAATTTTAAGTTCGAAGTTTATATAATTAAAATACAATATGTATGCAAAATTTAAAAAGGATGTTGATTTACCCAGACCAATAACGACCACTCCCAAGCACAACGGAAGCTTCGTTATCGATCTCAATAATAAAATTTCCTAATAATTTAAAAAATGTGATGCAGGTTTTTGAAAAGGATGTTGATTTACTTCGGGGACTGATAGTGGTCACCGAAGCAAAGGCGAGAGATACACTTTAAATCTCCTAATTAAATTAATATTGCCTTATTCTTTAAAATCAAAATGCAATCAAACAATTCAATATAAAACCTAATTACTAGGTGAGTTAATTAAGGCATCTCTATAACTTAAAGGTCTAGACCTAAAAAATGTAGGCTCGAATATTAATCTTAATTTTAATCAATTAATTAATAGAATATTTGAAACACACCCTCGGCATTAATGCGAGGACCAAATCAAGAGTCCTAAATTAAAGGATTAAAAAGTGAAATTAATCTAAAGTTGAAGCTATAATTATTAATCCTAATTAATTATGTCAAATGAATAATCAAAATGGAACCCTAGGCATTAATGTGAGGACCAAATTGAATTACTCACCTAATTAAGAAGTTTATGGACTAAAGTAAAATCTGTAACACCCCAAATTCTGGGCTAGTAGTTTTGGGTTTACATTAGAGTAAGTGAACTCTGTAGAATATAAATTAAGTCGTTGGGCTTAATTAGGTTGGAATTAGGCCAGTTAGTCATAAAGATATGATTTTTCATAGTAGAAAGATGAGGAGGGACCAATAGTGTAATTAACCTATTTAAAAAGATGAAGACTTTATATCTTCTTTCATTTTCTTCTCTTCACTTTATTCATTTTCATTTTCTTCCTCCCATCTTACTCTCCAAGTTTCTTAGCAAGGTGAGAACTTGAGCCTAATTTCATGCTTCAAATTCGTTTTTATTTCCCCTAGCAGCATCTTTTTAATGAATCAAGCTTGGATTCTTTGGTTGCAAGAAAGAATGATGGGTTTCCATCCAAATATAGAGGGAAGGTGTGTGCCTAAGCAAGGAGTCTCATTTCAGGATTCAATCAGCAAGGTAGTGTATTTAATCTGTTGGAGTACTAAGCTTTCATAATTTAAAGAATTTGCTAAGATTTTTGTAGTTGACATATTAGGGTTTAAACTTGATTTCAAGATTAAATAACATTAAGAAATTGTTAAGAAACTTCATTAGGAACCATCCCAAGTCATTTAGGATGATTTTGGGTGATTTCTCGATCCTAAAATTTTAGTTTCAGGGTTTAAGTATCGATATTAGGGTGAACAATATTGATACTGGTTGATTTGGGCCTAAAATTAGGGTTTTCAAAGAGAACTATCGATACTACTAAGGTGAGTATCGATAATGTCCTTGCAGTATCAATACTAAGGGTAGCAATATTTATATTGAGCCCTATTTTCGTAACATAATGCATTTTTGGTACCGATGCTCATAGGGGTATCGGTACTTGACCCTAAGGTATCGATACTAATGCTAGAGGATCAATAATACCCACTTTGTACGATTAGATTTGACTCGGTTAAAGGTCTGTAAGAGATAGGGATGGTTTATAAGGATAAGACTTAGTCTGTGAAGGACATAATGGCGAAAGAGCCTAGTGACACTCGTAGGAGTGGGTTACAACATCGTAACCATAGCATGCGTAATATGTCCAAGAATATTAACTAATCACAAAACAAATATTTATGAATGGAGGATCAGGGCACAGGTTGTACCGACGAGAGGTAAGACCAAGTAATCAGATTATGAGACAGTAGTGTCGTATACCGTAAGAACAACCGAGAATGTTGGATGTAGAACTACTCCTTTAGTTTGAGGCCAAATTGAGGAAAAACATAGTACTAGCAAATAGAGTATCACTACTCAGAAATGAACCCGAGTAAGATATTGTGCCAACCATAACATCTAAAATACACTTAAGTATCGTATAACCATTTCAGTACAAATTATCATTGGTAACATATTAACTAACCCTCGCATCACATTCTAGATGAGAGAAGAAACGAATCAATAGCTAGAAACAAAAACATTAACAGTAATAGCTAGAAATAGTAAATAGCTAGGATGTCATAAAACTAGCATTTGAGTGACAATTGGGAAACAACTCGGACACCCAAGTTACTTTAGTAGTATGACGTTTGTCTTGTTTATAAGTATGTCCAGGTATATACCAGTCAGTTCTTCCAGTTGTACGTAGATGCCCCAAGACTTGACGGAGTAAGTTGGTCAGGTGTACATTTCCGATGTAGTTCTGGATCTCACCCTGGTGTACCTGAGGGTATACTGACAGG